TTTTTTTTATGCTTAGGTTCCTTTCTGTTTCAAAAGAATTTCTTGAAATGCATGGGATTGTTCTGTTGTTTCCTAAACCATTTGGCAAAATACTGTATTTGAAATCCAGCCTGAGAAGAGGACATTGGAACTTGGGGTGTTCAGGTGCTTTCGTGAGGAGTTCTGATGTTCCTTTACAGTTTCTGATGTGTGTTCAGAGTAGTGGGGAAGGTTTTGGTGGACCTCTGTGGTTTGCTGTTGTGGATAAGCAGTTTGTGTGAATGAAGTTTGCCACATTTATTCCCAGTTCTGTGTTGGCAAAACAAGCAGTGCTGCTTTGGCTATGGTGTGAGTTAAGGTTTGGGACTGCAGCTTTGAGAGGGGAGAACTGAGCTTGAGCTAGAACAGATTGAAGTTGTCAAACACTGCCTTAAAGTACCTTTTTTTCCTCCCAGCTCTGCTCAAATATAGGTTCTAAACTTTCACTCGAGTCACAATTTTAAAATGGATGTGAAGTGTATGCTTGGAGCCTATTTCTTGTTTTCCCTTCTCTGTGTGAAAATGACCATGTAAGTTACTTACAGTGCAGCTGAGGATGGGTGTTCTTGTTGAAGTGCTGCTGCTCAGTGCTGCTTTCCTACTCTGCCTTCTGCTCCATCTCTTCCTGGAGATCAGTTCCTGGTGGTGCAGCTGCTCCTAAGCTCAGAATCTGGGTCAGTGTGTCACACCCACTCCATGCTGAACTTATTGGTACCTTGTGCCAAAAAAAAAAAAAAAAAAAGCAACCAAGTTTCCAAGTTTTTGATTTTATGTTGGCAAAATAGCAACATTAATTAGAGCAGTATTCTAAGCAGCTAATTTGTTGAAATTCTGCCTTATCCAGATAAGACATTGAGTGAGCTGCTGAGACATATATGTATGTGCATTTGGTTTTTTTTTTCTTTTTTTTTCCCCCCTCAATATCTGGAACTTTTCTTGTCTTGTTTTGGACTGTTTATCTTAGTTTCCTACAAGGCTGCATAATTCCCTGCTCTTTCGTAGCATACTGAGCTGTAGAATTTAATTTCTCAGCTGCTAACAGCAGATTTACTGGTACTACAAGTGTAGCAATGTTTGTTGTCTGCACTGATTAGGTGGAGAGTCAGTAGGTTCAGCATTCTGTAATAAAAGAGCAGTCTGGCTGCAGAGCACCAGTAACCCTCAGTTCGTTTTGGGGCATGTACAAACTCCAGCTCATGCAGCTGATAACAGCTCTCCTGTTTGCGAATAGGGATTGTGTTCTAGGAGGGGAACTTGTTATAACTGTGCCTTCTGAAAAAGTTTTATCACTTAAGTTTTTTTTCTGTAAGTAGTTCAGAGGATTGAAATGTGTTTTTTTTTTGTCTCCTGATGGGACTGTGGTTCAGTGAGGTGGCTTTGCGTTGCTGCCATAGGAGTCCTACCCTTGTAACTATGCTGCATAAGCTCCCTGCTCATCGCATTCCGTGGCACTGTGGCATTTGGCACAGGAGAAGAACAAATGGCCATTGATGGGGGCTTGGTAGCTATCCAGGTTGGTACTGCTGCGAAACTTCTCCCTTCTAGCCATGCCCAGCCACCTTGTTTGTTCAGTGTAATTCTGATGGTTGTGGTTCTTTTTCCTGCGGCAGAGTGTGATGCTGCTGCTAGAGCATTGCCCACTGCGGCGCGTTTTGTGCTCTCTGTTGGCGCTGGGTTTTTGTGTTTTTTTTTTTTTTTTTTTTTTTTTTTTTTTTTTTTTTTTTTTTTTTTCCTTCTTTCTGTTCCTGACTGTGGGTAAAACTGCAAATAAACTGAAAGGCATCCATGAAGCAGATGGCATTGGCGCAGGTTCTGCTCAGGAAGGAGCTTGGGTTTCTCTCTCTGGGCCAGACACACCGGCCCGGCTGCGCCAGTGCCTGTGGCACTTCTGCTCCTGTTTTTAAAAATAGCAGAAGCATTCTCAATGCAGCTGCATTTGAACACAGATTTGGGGATGGCATCTCTACATGTCTCCAGTGCTCATGTCCCACATCTCCAGTGCTCACTTTTCTTCTGTGTTTCCTTGTGGACAGTGCTTTCTTCAGTAACCCACACTCAATTATGGCTGCCCTGAGCTGGGTGCCAGTTGGCCCAGAGGGCTTCCATCAGGGACAGGAGGTGCTGGTTCCTATTTTTATGTTTCTGTAAAAAATTTGTGTAGTAAATTGCTTGTGCACAAATGCATTAGATGTTTCTTTTTCTAAAATATGGACCACAAAGTGTAGCAAAATCCTTTCTGTATGGCAGGATTGGGAATTTCTTCAGGCAGAGCTGCACTGAAGATGAAAGTGATTGGTAGAGGTTGCCCCTCTACTCTGTGCTGGTGAGGCCTCACCTGGAGTGCTGCATCCAGATGTGGAGTTCTTAGTACAGGAGAGATATGGAGCTGTTAGAGCATGTCCAGAAGAGGGCCTCAAAAATGATCTACGGAATGGAACACCTGTCCTGTGAGGTCAGGCTGAGAGAGCTGGGGTTGTTCAGCCTGGAGAAGAGAAGGCTGTGAGGTATCTAAAGGGGATCTACAGGAAAGAATGGGAGTGACTGTTTAGCAGGGTCTGTGGTGATAGAAGAAGGGGAAGTAGCTTCAAGCTCAAGGAGTGTAGACTTAGGTTAGATACAAGAGAAAAAAAAGATCTTACACAGTGAGAGTGGTGAGGTGCTAGAATGGATTGCCTAGTGGTGTGGATGATACCCCGTCCCTGGAGGCTTTCAGGGTGGTGCTGGATCAGGCCCTGGGCAACTTGACTGAGCTGTGGCGTCCCTGTTCATTGCAGGGGAGTTGGACTAGGTGTCCTTCAGAGGTCCCTTCCAACTCTAAGGATTCTATGATTCAAGAGAACAGAGGACAGTGACTTCTGGCAGAAATGTGGTTGTTCCTGGCACTTGAGGTAAGGAGTGAAGGGTTTTGCCCAAAAAGGTTTTAGTTCCAAGCCCTACAGAACTGTAGTGGTCAGAAATCGGGCTCTGGAGCCCCTCAAAAGCAGCTCCCTACAGCAGCTGCACAGAAGAGCACCCAGGGGGAACAGAACATCTCCAGGGAAGGAGACCCCAGCTCTCCGTGCCACGCTCACAGCACAGAAGTTCTTCCTCATGTCCCTATGGAACTCCCCGGGCTCCAGTCTGTGCGCGGCGCTCCTCGTCCTGGCGCTGAGCACCACAGAGCAGAGCCCGGCCCCATCCTCCTGACCTCCGCCCTCCACATATTGATCAGCGCTGATCAGATCCCTCCCAGCCTTCCCTTCCCCAGGTGAACAGCCCCAGGGCTCTCAGGCTGTCCCCATCAGGAGGTGCTCCAGGCCCCCACCATCTCTGCAGCCGTTCCCCGTCTGCCTGGAACTGGGCAGCCCAGCTCTGGGTGCCGTGCTCCAGCTGTGCTTCCCCGGAGTAGAGGGGAGGAGCACCTCCCTGCCCGCTGGCTGTGCTCTGTGCAATGTACCACAGGGAACCATTGGCTGCCTTGGCCGCAGGGCACACTACTGGCTCGTGGTCACCCCATTGCCTATCAAGACAAATGAGTTCATTTGCCTCTGAAAGGAAGAGTGTTTTACCCTATTAGAATTGTAAAGGAAACCTCGGTGTTTCTGGAGAGCTGGGTGCTGCGACTGTGTAGTTTTTGGTAATTGCGGGATGGGCTCTGGAGAAATAGATGTGTTCCGTGCTCACTGATTAAAGCCATGATATGGCAGCCCGTCTCTCTGTTTGCTAACACGAGGAGTACTTTTAGTAGGATCTGGAATACTTCTGCATTAGGTCGAAGTCGATTTAAATTCAACCCCGCTTGTGTTGCTGGTAGCTGATGTTGAGTGTGGCCGCTCTTAGAGGGCGCCCCGCGGTGCCCTCTGCTGGCAGCACGAACGCTGCGCCGGATCCACTCCGACGCGGAGCTGCTGCGACTGAACTGCCGTTGAAACTTATTGTTTGCATTCTAAGTTTCTAGGATAGCCTGATAAAAGTCTGTTTTCAAAATGGTGATTTCATCCTGAATTGCTTCGGGTTCTTTTTCCCTGCCAATTTTGAAATAATTGAACAATTTGGCTTTTCATGTTGGAAGGCACTTTGAAGTTACACTTTTTTTTCTTTTTTTCTTTTTTTTTTTTTTTTTTTTTTTTAAATGAATTGCCTGGCACTTAATTTTCTTTGTGCAAATGCAAACAACGTGTAATGACACCACCTTTTAAAAAAGATCCTGATGTAATGTTTTATGTAATCTAGCATGGCAAAAAAACCAAAACAAAACAAAAACAAAAAAACCCCAGAGGAAATACTAGCTAATACATTTCCCAGAGCTGGTGAGTTGTTGTTTTTTTTTTTTATTATTTTTGTTGAAACTAAATATAAAATCATTCAGATGGGAAGCTTTGAGGGACAGCTAGTTCCGTGTGTGCTGACATATGCTGGAGGTAGGGAGGAGTTTGTTCTTCACTGCCGTTCTGGTGAGGCACAGTTTCAGATGATGAATGGAAAGGGCCAATATTAAGTCTCTGAGATATATTTAGGCAGCACTTGAACTCTCAAGTGATACTGGTGTTCCTGTCATATTCCGCAGTTGTTTCCTCTGTGTAGGCTTGGTTACGCAGCTACAAATGCACTCACATTAGTGTGGCATTCTCCTGTATGGAAGTGAGAAGTCAGCACTGTGAAGGCAGCTGTTTTAGAAACGAGTGCTGTCACATATTTCAGCTTTGAATGCCTTGACAGAAGACAGTAGTGAAATGGGAGAAAACCTTGTGGAGTTTGCTGATACTTCGCTCTTCTTAGAGCCCTGCAAACAAATAGACATTTGGATTTTTGATCAGAAATCCGTCATATCCATGTTAGAGTTTTCTGCTTTTAAATACTTCCTTGGAGAGTGGGAGGAGAGAGAAATCCCAAATATTGCTACCTTTCTATGAAATTCAATAAAGCATGTAGAAAGAAAATAATGATTAATTACTGTTTGTTTGTTTTTTTTTTTCCCTTCCTGATTTGTTTTTACTGCTTAGGTGCTGCCACCCTCCTGAAAATATGGGGTCTGAAAACCCAAGTCCGCAGAATCCTGGCTGTAAGATTATGACCTTTCGTCCCACCCTTGAGGAGTTTCGGGACTTTGGGAAATACGTTGCATACATTGAATCACAAGGAGCTCACCGAGCAGGGCTTGCCAAGGTGAGTTCACCCTGTTCTGGGAGTTGAAAGCTTTCTGAAGAATGCCTTCCTGAGGCTCTTTTGCCAAAGCACCTGTGCGTGTGTATCACTCAGAAGTAGTGTTCTTTTGTGTAGTCAAGTTTTTTAAAATTGTATTTCCAATCTCTGCATTTTGATTTATCAATAAAATAGAGGCAAAGATGTTATGGTCCTTTCACAAGAGTGAAATAAGCGTGTAGTTAAACTATATGTATTTCTGATCCCCAGTGGGAAAACAAAAACATTCTCAGCCCTTACAGAGATCAGTTAAGGGTACTGCCATGTCCCTAGTCTATTGCTGAAAATAGAGACGATGGTAGCCAAGGTCCTCAAGGAGCTCTGAGGTTTTCAGCTTCCTCAGATTGTTGGGTAAAGCATCAAGTTTTTCAGGTCTGCTTAGGGTTGGATAGGGAATTGGGTCTGAAGTCACATCTATATGCATGGGTGCAGACTTCTTACTCTTAGCTTTTTTATGCCCTAAGCAACTACTTTGTGCTAACTTGAATCTAGACCTGTAAATGTGACATGCAGGTGTGTGTTCCCCAAAAGCACCGGAAAACCCTGCAGCTAGCTCTGAAACCTCTTTCCAGCTTTCCTTCCCATCCGTGTCTTTACATTGAAGCTGATGAAACATTATGAGAACTCTTCATGTATTACTTTAAAATCCCAGTGCATGACATGAAGCGTATGACGTGCCGCTTGGGAAAGAAAAACAGCTAACTGTCTAGAAGGATTGTTTCTGTAGTAGTGTCATGTTGCTCTATAGCTGAGAGAGCATTTGTTCTGACAAAGTAGTTGTTAAACGTGGTATTTAGCAGAATCTAATAAAGCACAGCAGAGAAGTAAAGCTTTAGGGTGTGAAATAGTAATGATTTCTTTTAAAATAGGTCAATTACTGTTTTTATTGCAGTCATAAGTAGAGCAAAGTACTGATAAAAGGCTGTCTGTGAAATGTTTCCTTGTCCACTCAAGTGTACTGGCAATTATGTTTCATGGGTTGGCTGAGGTATTTTAATGAAGGTTGTTGGTGAATTGCTGATGTTACAGAGAAATGACTTCCTGTAGGACTAAATCTCAGCATTTCAAGTTATTTTCTCTGTTTAATTTATTGCAGCTACCGTTTAGAGCCATGTTATAGCAGTAGAGCTCATCATATCCTAAAGGAACCATCGCTACAAAAATCACTAACTTCACATTCCCATAATGTTTTGGGTGCGGGTTGTTTTTTTTTTGTTTTTGTTTTTGTTTTTTTTTTGGTCAATTCTTCCACCAAATTAGACTGTAGCTACATATATATATATATTTTTTTCATTTCACTTGCACACTGGATGTTCACAGATGTGTCCCTGTAATCCAGAAACACCCACAGGAATAATGGAACAGGATCTAATAGAAGGTATCCCTGCACATGACAGGCTTTGGGATTGGGTGGTCTTTAAGGTTCCCTTCCAATCCAAACCTTGCCATGATTCTGTGATACCATTTGTGATTGTGAGCCTTCCTAGTTTAAAAAACAAACAAATAAAGCAAAAACAACATCCTCCCTCTTTAATGTTTCTGATCTTCTGGATGCAGTAGTAATGTACACTGAGGTGAAAGAATTTGTTGGTTATTTGAGATGCTGCTGTTATCAGATAACATATAGCAGCGGGATGAAATACCTTCTGTTTAAATTTGTTTAACTTGGTAGAAATTGCTTGCCTGTTTTGAAGATTTTGGTGTTTTTATTTCCAGGTGATTCCTCCCAAGGAGTGGAAGCCCAGAAAAACCTATGATGACATAGATGATATGGTTATCCCAGCTCCCATTCAGCAGGTGGTTACTGGCCAGTCAGGATTATTCACACAGTACAATATACAGAAGAAACCCATGACCGTGGGAGAGTACCGGCGTCTGGCTAACAGTGAGAAGTATGTCAGTGTTAAGTGTGCTTCCTTTGTGAGTGGAAGAGTAGCGCAGTAAATCTTTCTTTCCGACAACAAGCTAGAAAGAAAATACAACCAGCTATGTTAAATAGGAAGCATTTTGAAGCAAACAACATTTTCTTGATAATTGACCTCCAGAATTTCAAACCAGTAGATAATTTCATGGCTTGTGGTGTGCATCTTTGATCTTTTTCTCAGAGTTGGTATAGAAAGTTTCTTTGAAGTCAGCATCTGACTAAGGCTGTGCCTGAAAACAATGGCTTAAGGCTCTAAGGAGACCTCCCAGTCTGTTAATTGTTATTCTGGAAAATATGTTTCAGTGCTCAGATACAAATGCAAGTGCGCTTGAGTGTGTGAGTGTCTTCTGAAGAGCCTGGGAATGTTGCAGAACACTTCAGATAACTGGGACGAGCTAACCCGTACAAGCTGCGGTTGCATCATTCTTAGAGTCATTTTCCCAGAGCTCTGGAATATTTCAAGTTTTAACTCAAGCATTACTGCCAACATGCAGTCAACTTTGAAATATTGCTAACGCAGCCTATAAGGGTGCTTTACCTGTGTTCAGCAAACTGTAATAACTTCATCTTGCGCGTTGCTAGGATGAGGATTTGATGCTTCATGTAAGTGCTCATCCTGTTTGTCAATATGCACTAAGAGGTTTTGTAGAAAGATTTAAAAGGCAGTAAATGTGATGAATTTGAATAGAATTAAAAATGTAATACATCTTCAGCAACCTCTTGAGTGTGCGTGCTTTGAATGTGAACTTATTTTTATGGGCAATAGAAGATGAAGAGAGAAGAGGTTTAAGAGCACAAGTTGCAGGACTGGAAACAAAAACGCTTGTGTTTTGTGCTTTGCCGTAAACATGCATTGCAAGAATTGTAATCTGATTTACTTTTTTCTTTGCCTTTTTTCTCTTTCTTACTGATTTTTTTACACTCATATAATGTAATTTGTTATATAATAACAGATTTAGATAATTTGCTGATTATTTGTACATTGCTTTGAGATAATGAAATGGAAGATACGATAAAAGCATGTCCAATTTTACTGTGCTGTATACAATCTGCTGCCTAAACTATAGTTTTTTCTGATGCTGACTAGTAGGAGTGTTAGCAGGTGTTCACAGTGCTGAGAAATGCACTCTTCTTGTCAGCCGTTTGTCTATCTGTAGTGAGAGTGCCGTAGGGCTTCTTGCTTCCTTGCCTCCTCTGTGTTCTTTTCAGATATTGTACGCCACGCCATCAAGATTTTGAAGACTTGGAGCGCAAGTACTGGAAGAATCTCACTTTTGTCTCACCAATTTATGGGGCTGATATCAGTGGCTCTCTGTATGACACAGTAAGTGAGGCTCCTCATTAATGTGTGTTTTTGCTGAACCCATTAGGGAACAGTGATTTAGAATTTGCTTCAAAGGCAATGAAATTAAAGCTGCGCCTGTAGTTATCTTTGGAGTAGAATGGCCTGTTGTCTGGAGTGTTGTCTGACTGCCCACAGTATAAACTCTCTTGGTATAAAAGTGTCTCTCTATTATCACTATGGTTTAGTGTGGATTTAATTGGAAGGAACTTAGATTCTGAAGTCACCACAGCCATAGACCTCAAAGTTACCCAGTATTTGGTGCTGTGATGAGTATCATGTACTTGAACAAGTTTTTGGAGAAGCAGTTTCTTCATGTACAGAATGTATATTGTTTCCTTCAGTTAACTTCAAGTTCCCCTAAACAGAAATTAAATAATTGGATTACCAATGACATCTAAAGAACATTTCCTGTTGTCTGATTACCAATACTGCTGCAAGCATTAAATTGTTGGAATAATGAAAGTCTCTCTGCACTTCTTTTCATCTCCACTTACAGCTGCTTCCTTTCTTCAGTTCTTTATCTCCTGCCTGTTTTTTGTTTGTTTGTTTGTTTTGTTTTGTTTCTAGTTTGATATAGAAAGTTTAAAGATTGAGCAGTTTGTTTCACTTTCTAGCTGTTACTCCAGGAAGCAGTACGGAGCTGGGGTTGCTTGCATGTGTATCAGTTACTTACCTGCATGTTAAGCACACCAGAGAAGGGACATGAAAAGAGGTGGTTTGCTTTTAGAGATAGTAATAGGCAAATCTGTAGGCAATTGCAAGGTTAAAGGTTTTTATCAGTTTTTTTTCTATTCTTTATTGAAGTAGAGAAAACCAATAGCCAGTTTTAGAACACTTCCTATTATTATTATTTTTTTTCTTTCTGATAAATACTGATAATTACTAAACCAGCTTCCCTATTCTTTATCTGAAGCACTGAGCTCATGTAGAGGACTCTACATAGGCCACATTTCAGTCTAGTTGTTCTGGTCTGTTCATGCATACTCATCAGGTGAAGAACATCGGGATGGAATGCCAATGAGAGAAGCATATTTTACCCTTAGTTTATCTCACATTTATTAGTAGATCAGTTAATGAATGGTAGAGTACCAGAGTGAAAGTGCCTCTTCAGAGAACACAGTGAGAAGCTAGTAATCAATCCCTTTACCAAAAGTAATAGTAATGCATCCTTTTCGTGATTATTGATGAAAGTTAATAGTAAACCTTCCGGAAAAAGGTAGAATTAAATTAATGCAAGTAAATGGACCTTCAGAATAACACTAGGATATCCACATGTTAAGGCAACAAAAGGAAGCTGTAGGCTGTTGCTGTGCTGTACCAAGTCCTGATGTGCTCTAGAACAAAACTTTTACTTTGAATTATAGGATGTGGAAGAATGGAATATTGGCAATCTGAACACCCTGTTAGACATGGTGGAACATGAGTGTGGTATTATTATAGAAGGTGTAAACACTCCCTACCTCTACTTTGGGATGTGGAAGACAACGTTTGCTTGGCATACAGAAGACATGGATCTCTACAGTATCAACTACTTGCATTTTGGGGAGCCAAAATCCTGGTAAGTGATATCCTGATAGGTAGTAGCTACATACCATTGCCTTGTTGTACTTGGAGACCATGTGGAGTCCTTTTTTCACACCTAATTCCATCAGGCCTACATAATTTCTCACTTCCCACTTTTTTTTTTTTTTTTTTTTCCCCCCCCCCCCCTTTCTTTCTCTACACTTGAAAACAATTTTATTTTCTTTCTGGTTGACTTGCTTGGCGACCTAACAGCAGAATTAGGAAGGCTTCTTGACGTTATGATTAAAAACAGATTTTAGCATTTGACACATTTTTGGAAGCTAGTGCACAGGAGAGCAAATGATGATAGGAGTGTGTGGATGCTTTTGAAGTAATTCAGTAGTGTTGTTTTTGCACTGTTATGTTGGTAGGGGATTTCAGTTACTTTAAAAGTTCCATTTTTTAAGTTTATAAATGTACTTTCAACTCCAGAGACAAGGTAGGCTGAAGTATTTTTGTGGTCAATTCTTAGAATGATAAGCGTTTTTCAACACTGCTGATGCATAAACTAGTTGGAAATAACTTTCCACAAAAGTAGTTAATAGATAAGGGTGAAATTAAGAAGCTAGCAGATCTGGAGTAAGTTAGCAAGATCCAGTATTTTTTTTTTTTTTTTTTCCTAAAGCTTCTTATTTAAAAATATAACCAGAGAGACTTAGTTAACCCAGAAGAGCTTTGCTGAAGATCTTGATGTGACTAATAAATATTGACATTTAAGCTCTAATTTGCACACAAATGTCAGTGTGGAACTGCTGTCATTATGCCCTGGCACTGGCAGACAAGAACCTCCCAGCTCTCTGTAATATGAGTCCCCAGTGTCACTGTGTATCTCCAGGCTGTTAGTGTCTGCAGGCATATAAAAGCCAACAATGAAGATCCTGTGATAAATGGATATAATGTTCTTCTACAGTCTTGAAAAAGGGTGGAAAAAGGGGCTGGGCTTGAAGCATTCAGCTATCAATGTGCCCTTTAAGAATCTTTTCCAACATGTCAGAAAATTTGTTTTGCCAGCATTTGTGATTCTTAGTTTCCTTTGTTCAGGCAGTTAGATGTACAAGGATTTTGCAGAATCACTTATGCTACCTCTGTTAAGCGAGTTGGATGTCAAGAAACTTGGATTTTAATTGAAATGGAGCATGCTTTCATCTTAGATTTTCGATTTTTTTAGTATGTCTTCAGAGGCAGTTAGATCAAAATTTGATACTCATCTCCAGTAGGTGGTGCCATGAGCACACAAGAACCACTTTTCTTTGCCCAGACAGTGCAGTGACCATCAGCAAGGCTTGCCACTTTGGAGTGTCTGTTTCAGCGCACGAGAGTTAACTGCTATGAGAGTTGTACAAGCAGCTGGCCTGAGGTTTGCATGATTATCATGTCGTCATATCTGCCTCTCCTTCCATGCCTGTGTGTTATGAGGTTTGCCTGGCCTGTCTTCTGCTCACTTTTTGTTCCAATCCTGCAATAGAGGGTTCTCTCTTTTAAGAAGCAGAAATAAGAACAGGTTACTTTGAAAAGAAAAGCTTGCTCCAACATGAAACTAATGCCTTTACAGCTTAGTAACAAATAAGCTCTCACACTGTGAGCAAAATTTAGAGAACAGGTGCTAAATGAAATGTACACTGAGTATTTGTGGCCTTGAACTAGAACTGTATAAAACTTAGGAACTTCATGTCATAGACTTGAATTGCTCAGGTTGGAAAAGATCTTAAAGATCATCAAGTCCAACCGCAACCTAACTAAGTACCTTAACTCTAACAACCCACTGCTAAATCGTGTCCCTGAGCACTACATCCAAATGGTTTTTAAACACATTCAGGGATGGTGACTCAACCACCTGGGCAACCCTGGGTAGCCTATTCCAGTGCTTAACAACCCCTTCTTCCTTTCCCTTTCTTTGTCGTTATTGTTGGTGTTGTTTGTTTGTTTTGAGTAATGTGAATAACATTTGGGCGCCAACATATTGTGTCTATCATAAGGATGATAAACTTATTGCATGAAGCTGTTCTAAACAGTGGCTTTTCCTTATGTTCTTATATATGTTTATTTTCTTCCTTGTGGAAAATACAGATTGCATGATAGAAAAACAAAGAAACCCTTCAAAAAGGAAATCCTCAAACACCTGCGTGTAGCATGGTGTATATGAAGAGGGTAAGAATAAGAAGAACTAAAAACAGTAGATGGAAAATTGTGTCTGACAAATACCAGATCTTAAAAGTTCTCAGTAGCTTTTATTTCTGTCTAATCCTGTTAAGGAATGGAGAAGACAGATCATACAGTCTACTTGAAAGGAGCTCAGGTCTTTCTGGTTAGAAATCAAAGCAAGAATATGCTCTGGACCTGGTTTAGGAGAAGAAAAAAAAAAAAAAAAAAAAGGTATTTTTACCATGCTTAAAAGGGAATGAAGGGGCCTATGCAGCTGTTCTGTAGTTGTATAGGTCTTTTTCTGGTAACTAGCTGTGTAAACCTTATGTAGTAGGAAAGAAATGAGGATTTTGAGGTTTGACCATGTTTCCTGTTCAAGTGAGCTTCATATCTACATAACTGTGTCATGCAAAAATAGTTGTATTGTGGCAGGATGCCATTGGTGGTTTGGAAGGCCTTTATCTTGTTCCCTGAAGTGTGAGGAAAGAGTATGCCACTTGCCTAAGTCATTTCTTTCTTCTTCTTCACCCTGACTACTTCTGTTAGTAAGTTCTTAAGCTCTGCTGTGAAGAAGTGTTGGTTTCTGAGGGGTAAATCTGAATACCGCTTTGAGCAGACCTGTAACTTTGCATCCATGCAAGCAAATGCTGATTTTCTGGATATGATTGCAGTGATCCCAAAGGTCAGGTGGGGGAGCTCTTGGACTTCAGTGACTAAATGCCAGTGGTGCAGCCTGGCTTATCTCAAGGATAGTTGAAATATTCGTTGTTTTTTTTTTTTTTTCTTTTTTTTTCCCTGGCACTACCTCGGTAGAAATCTTCCCAGCTTCCTTCATCCGTTTTATAGACTCTTTGATTCTAACATTGATCATCTTAGAAACACCTCAGGGAATAGCAGAAGTGTGGAGAGTTATGGAGTCTACCCGTTTGGGGTTGAGCTCTATAATAAGAGACAGCGTTACTGTTTGGCTGTCAAAGATTTTTGCATATTGGTAGTATTTTACCCCCAAATTGTCTGTTAAAAGCATAACGCTTTCTCTCATAAATTATCTTAGGCTATTTTAATTTGAGCCATGTAACCAAAACCCTACTTTGCTGAATAGTGAATAGGAATGGTGAGAGGCCACCAGTGCTATTTTGTTATAAATGTAAGGTGTGAAAGGATTTGGGCCATTTGAAAGTGCTTCCCAGACCTCATTTAAGTGAGTTTGGCAAGAAATGATCATGTTTATTTTCTATGGGAGAGGTAGAAGTGACTTTTCAGAGAGGTCTGGATATGGTCAGATCATGAGGAGCCACCCCAGTGGACAAAGATAATCGGAATGAGAAATCACTCTATTTGTAGATCTGAGAAGATAGGTATTGAAGTGTTATTTTGCATGGATCTTTTATTTCTGTCTTTGGAATTCTAGATTATACCTCTTGCAAAACAGAAGCTTTTGGGACTGGAATCAGAATTAAGATAAATGTTTGTTTCAGCAACTGAAGATGGCTTCTTTGTACAATCCAAGAGGCAGCTGCATGGCCATACAATTCCTTGATTAATATGTTTCTTTCACTGCAGAGAAATCCTGCTGCCAGCACTTTCTTGCACTATTCCTTTGCTGTAAACTGAGTGGAACAGACAGTAGCAAAATGAGCTCTAGTGTTATGTCACCAGGGATGCAGGTTAAAATACTGTTCACTGCTAAGTGAAGCGCTTGAGTAATGAAGGGTCATCCAGTGATGGGGGAAAGCTGAGGGCGTAATGGAAGAAAGCTTTTTTCCTTCTTCCAGTCTCATGAAATGATTCTATGTTTGTAGATTGCATTGCATTTGTATCTTTTGTCTCCTAACAAGAGGAACAAGCACTGTTGTCGTTAACCAGTGTAACTGCTGCTGCAGAGTTACCTATCCCGCCTCTTTCTGAAGTTGATCCTCTTCTCTGTTGCACTCCTTCGAGGGTATACGCATCTGGTCTACCAGTGTAGTCACACTGCTGTTGATTTAACTGCAGAATAAGTCAGATTAGATTGAGGAGGTAACCTGGAAGTTGTGGGCACTGTCCATCAAATGTATCACGAATTTGTTGTGTAACTTCATTTTAAGCTTCTCAGGCAGGGAGCTGCCAGGCTGAGTCTGTTGCTTGCTTGTTCCTCAAATTACAAAGAAATGTTCCTCTCGCATTAGTAGCTCAATTACAACCTTTTCATGGTCTGTTTTCTTCTGTTGTTTTTTTTTTCCACCAGAAGTTTGAATGTATCTCATTTTGCAGCCCTATATTAAACCTCTTGTGGTAGGAGTTTTTGGTGCATCAATTATACATATTATATATAATTACCTTATACATTCATATGCTGAGATCTAAAATTGAGCATATTGTCAAGAGATGCTAACAGAAGACTGATTTTTATAGTGACAGAAGCAACAAAACTGAATGCCAAGTCTTAATACTTCATGTTTATTGCAGCATTTTACTGAGGAATGTATGCATCACAGCTCTTGGAATTTGAAAAGCATATCTTTAAACACTGAAATACTCTGCCATCATTTCATTTCATCTCAGTAAAATAGTGAGTGCACGTACATGCTCTCTCCTGGTATAAATTATGGTCTTGCATATCATTTATGTGGGTTCTCTTCCTGTGTTATATACAGGTTATTGTTTTACACTCCTGAATTGCTGTAGCAGTAATAATCACATTTGGAGGAACAAAGTGGTCTGATACTGCCAAACCAGCAGAGTAGCTGCTAACTTTACAGAGTGGTGAACAGTGCAAGTTCCATTGCTTAGATACTTTGTGACTAATTTTGCCATATAGCAGCAATGTTAGATATATTTTTGTAAGTATTAATGTAATGTTACTCTGTATAA